GCTAGGACGTATGTGTAAATACATTTTGAACATATCAAAGCACCTTTTAGTTTGTGTGAAGTTCTTCAGATGGCCCCCGTTGTCCTTTGAAACTTCTAACACCAAGGTGTCTGTTGCAGCCCAGAGCAAGGTTACTGCTACCCAGGACAGCACTAATTTGCGATGTATTTTCTGTGGTAAGCAACATTATGTTTACATTACTTTTTCAAGCTGTGGTACATACTACTTGCACATTTCCATAACTTTTGTTTACTTTGGCCATAGTCTGATTTTTGGTATTTGGGATATAGAGCAAGCTACAGTTTTTATGTTGTGATATTTGTTGTGGTTCATGTAGGTGATTTGGTCAGCTTTTGAGTTGGCTTGTTAGTAGGGATTAAGATAGAATTAGGGTCTTATGATTAATTCTTGACCACCTATCCAAACATAGATGGGAGGAGGAAGAGTTTTTATTTGTTTTTATTTTCAAGTATTTTGTTTGCAGGCACAGTTATAATTTAGAATTTAAAGAAAACAATTTATATCCATTTTGCTGTGATTTGGAAAAAGTAGCTGTGATTTTTATTTGAAGGAAGCTTTTATTTAACTTGAATGAATTTTAGGTGTGCATGTTGGGAAGCAGAAGTAAGCAAAATCTTGTTTTAGTACACTGATTTCTGGTCAGCAGTCTGCTTTATCCACTGCTTAGAGACCATTGAATTTAAACTAGAGTCTTTTCTTTCACCCTCCCTCTCTTCACACCCAAGAGAGGACAAACTAAATCTGTCAGTTAGCCACTCCAAATTAGAGATAACAACTCCCTGTCATTATTCTTGCATTTGTATTCCTATTTGTTCCTTAAAGTTTCTATTTTGAAAACCTAAGTTTAAAAAATCAGCTTTTAACATTTTGAGGCTTTTGGTTTTGGACTCGTGTACCTTGGCAAGTCACATTATTTTACTAGATAAAGTTATAAACTCATATATTGGTTAAATTTTACACCAACAGTTCCAAATATTGCTATGTGCATTTATTTTGTCCATGTGACTCAGAATTTTTGTTCTCAATATTGCTGGTATTGTTTTTTCACCTATAAAGAGAATAACATTTTTTAAATATATGTACATACTCAGTTTACTGGTGTAGGCAAAAACACTTGTGTTGTAATTTTCCCCATAAATTAAAAATTTTAATGCCTTTTGAAACCAGTTTAAGGTTATACTTTCCCTCCATTTAAATCCCTCTTTTCCTCTCCTTTCCACAATTCAACTTTATAGAGTGTTGGATCAGTAACTTTTTTTCTGAATTTTCTGCCTCCTCCTGGGGGGTTTTCTAGGTCACAGCTATCATGAGTGATTGTTTCTGTTTATATTGCTTTATCTCATTTTGAAAACTACCTTGATGTTACATACCTGCTACTTAATATTTTGAGGTTTACATGTAGAATGATAGGTACCCAGTTTAGAGCAGACATTGATTTAACATTAATAAAGGTGAAATTTTCAGATGTAAAATAATGTGTTAAATATTGACTCAATTGATTTCATCTTTATTTAGTAATATTATTACCTTAACGTATTTAACTGTGTGTAAACAATATAATTACCAGTTTGCTAAGTTTAAGCTTGATTGCATTGTGTATATTTTTACACCCCTGTTTGTCATTTAGTCATGTGTTTTAAAATTATCTGTGTGGCTAAGTGTGAAACTAGACTTATTTGTGAAAATTAAAATTTGGCATAAATAAAATATGCTTTAGCTGAAGTCTCAGAATTGAAGGCAAGAATGAAATGCCACACTTGGTTTTAGAGATCTTTCCATCATTTATAGGATATTATATCAGTCACATTGCCACACTATATTAGAAACAGTGAGGTAATTCTGATGCTTTGCTATGGGGGAAGAGCATGCATATCTTTCTCTTTTAACCAGGACATGTTAAGATCAGTCATTGTCTTTGGCACCAGGGTAATAGAACAAGGGAGAAAATTAAGCCCCAAACAGCAACTTTCCTTGATGAAAATGTAGTAGGAAAAAACAGGTTCATTTATTTCTAAACTTTGGTTATTTCTTGTCGTTTTTTTCTCTGATTCTAAAAAAGGGCTATTAATCACCACATGATGTTCTTAAAAAATATTGTCATTTACCCACTAAAATGGTTAGTAGAGTACCTTTTCTTTAGTATTCCGTGAAGACACAGATACCCATTTAGGACACTGTGACTTATGTGAATTAATAGTTATGCTCCAGCATGCACAGTGGCAACTGACTGCCGTGCTTTATGTTATGTGTGGTACCTTTGGCATTATTTACCAATTTTATAACCTATTAAAATGTTTAACCGCAGGGAAAATATATAACTGTATACCTGAAATTCACAGATTACTTGGAACTTTTATTTAACACTTAAAGTGAGTCTTTATTATTTTGTAAGGGGCTCTGGTAGCGTAGTGGTTATGAATCGGGCTGCTAACCTCAAGGTCGGCAGTTCGAAGCTGCCAGCTGTTCTGCAGGAGAAAGATGAAGATTTCTGTTCCCATAAAGATTTGCAACCTCAGAAACCCCATGCAGGGTCACTGTGAGTCAGAACCGACTCCATGGTACTTAACAACATGTTATTTTTTGAAAAGTACATAGTTTCAATGTGCTTCTTATTGTAATTTGGCAATATTGATGAAGAATGAGGAACAAATAACAAGATTAAAATACATATGAGAATTCCCAAGGGGGGAAAATGTTTCTTTCCCTCCATTTAAAAAATGTTTATGGAAGGACAAATTGCCCATTACAATGACCAGGTAGAAAATAATCCTTGAGTAAAAATTTCTCTGATTTGAAAAGGATTTTCTTTTAAGTTTCCTTCTCTGCTGTATGAATAAAATGTAGGCATTATTTTTTATAATGCTATTACCACAAAATATTACTCACATTTTTTAAACTTCCCATATAAACAAGTGTTCTGATTAAGCTTTTAATTTTAAAAAATCCAAAGGGGTTTCTGTAAACTGCTAAACAAAACGAATTACACAAGCATTATATCAAACTTTTATTCATTTTTTAAAAACCTGTTTAATAAAAGCAGTAGGGTTGAGTTGACATTTTTTTTACATTAAAACTTAATATTGATAGATTTAGTAGGTAGTCTTAGGTAATATGATTATATTTTTAATTAAAATAATAAGATGCATTTTTCTTTTAGATGCCAAATAGCATCTGACTTACTGTCATTCATCTGCTTACATATTTAAACAACAGGTTTTAGTTTAAATATGCAAATTAAAATTATTTTTAAAACAGGCCAAAGTAGTCTTAATGAGTTACCCATGCTAAATATTTGCTTTAAATTTGTTTTTAAAAATATAGCTTTGAATATATAAAATACTTCCCCTTAAATATTTTACATTTTCTCAAATTTAGTTATGGCCCCCTCTTCCTGTTAAAAGAGCCATCTTTCCCCTTTAAGAAATTAGACATTAGTGTATTACTTCAAATGACAGCCTGTTTTTACATCATTATGTTGATTTCCCAAGGAAAGAATTCCAGTCTGTTTACTTAACAATAGTTATATATTTTCATTTATTCAAACATTTGAACGTGTATTTATTAATAGATTCCTTTTTTAAAAATTACTAGTTGCATGGATTGATATATTTTTATGTTTCTTTTGTTTGCTTACTCAAAATAACAGACTGTTATTTTGGAAATCTAATGAAATATATTACTGTAATTGTCATCTAATTTGTCTTTAGAGGACAAATTAAATGATTAATCTCAAAACATTTGTAAAAGGGTGAGAAAAAAACTTATTAGGTAAGTTCAGATCAAGTTATTTCTGATTTTTCTACAATTGGTATGTATCAGTACTGAATTACCATCTAATGAATCTTATCCTTACATTTGTCAAGACATCCCCACTATTAAATAAATTGTGTTTTATCTTCTATAGAATTACAAGAATTCACTTTAGTGCACATAATTTATTTCCTACATCTATTTTTTTATACTATTGTTCTATAAAAAAAAAAACTTCCCAAATGTTTGTTATGGGCATTTGTTGGCACTTTAGAATTCAGAAGAATGTGTAGTATATATTACTCACATTCTTCTCCAAGAGTGGACCGCTACTACTATTTCTTTACTTTCTGGTTGATTGGATTAGCTTTCAGGACTGGTTTTTTTAGACCTTAGAAATTGTTTATTAGGTCAGTATTTATTGATCTCATTTTATGACACACATTTATAACTAGTGTATAATCTAGTAGCATTCTGAGATGCTGTAAATGGGTCACCATTGTATGATTACCTGGCAATGACTGGGCATTAGTTTCTCATCACAGAGCCATGTTGATGTGCATGTAGATGTTTTTCTCTACTTCAAATGAAAAGTTAAGATTACCCCTGTTTCATTAACATTTCAGTGGGTTAATTATCATATAAAAGTTTAGCAAATGTTGTTTTCACCAGTCCTGGAAATGCCGGCCCATTAAACAAAAATTGCATCTTAAATTGGGCAAGTTTGATAAATGCATTAGCATACTTCAGTCTAGTAATAAGGTTCTCATGCTTTCTCTCTCCTGTTTTTCATTTCCAGTGTTCTATTTAGGTGAGTTTTTGAATTCTGATTTTTCATTTAAGTTTTCCCTCTCCACTTCATGAATAATTACCCCAACAAGAATGTCTCATTGTCTTAGATAATGGCAAGCTTAGGTGCCTATTCAGATGTTCGTTGAACACTTGTTTTACTCAAGCTCTTCATATGTAAATGTTTATTTTTCCTTTATTGTTGATGTTTTTCCATTTGTTTCAAGTAAGCCTTCTGGAAATGATGACAGTATTATGTTGCAGTCTTTTCATTTGCTGTGTGTTTTGTAAAGCTTAAAGCTTATATTTTATTTTGCTAGATGAAAAGAAGATGCATTTGTAAATATGTGATGGTTTTATGTTATTCTCATGGTTTTATCTTCTCTGTCCAGCTAATTGTAAAGCTAATGTTCACCTGTAATGTTTTCCTCCCTTCATAGGGCCAACATTGCCTAGACAAAATTCACAACTACCTGCCCAAGTACAAAATGGCCCATCACAAGAAGAGTTGGAAATTCAAAGAAGGTAAATTTACATTGTTTGTACTGCACAAGACTGAACTATGAACATCTTAATATTGAAAATCACTTATATCTTGTCAGCAATTTCAATAAGAATTTGAAATTCTTATTTTGCTGAACATTTAGAATAACCATTAATAAATGAGCAAGATACTTATTAAGCTACACAGAAGATGTTAAAATTTATTATCTGCTCTTTTGTAAAACTTGCATTTGTGATAAATTTAAACTATATTTGATGTACTTAACAGCAAACAAGAATGTCATTAGACTGCAAGTTTTATTTTTGTATTGATATTGTTGGTTACTTTTGAGTCTGTTCCAACTAGTTACAAACCCTATGTGGTGAACAGAACTGTACCTCCATAGGGATTTCAGAGCTGTGAGCGTTCAACCGCAGATTTTCTGGCCTATATTCTGGGGAGCCTCTGATTGGGTTTGAACCACCAACCTTTTGGCCTCGGTTAGTAATTATAAATCTACAGATTTGATATAAAGAGACTTAATTTAACTGGAAGGTTCAAAAAGTCTTGGCTGGTCCTGTAAGACATCAGTCTTGAGATAGCACCTTTGGGATTAATAGTGAAATATAAGATCATTCAGAATACATTTAAATTGCTGATTGAATGAGATTGATAGTGTTTTCCTCTAAAACATAATTCCATTATTTCAATGCAGTTTAGAAATACACATGAAATTATAATATAGCTTCATTTATGGTTTAATATGTTCAGCTGCTAACCAGAAGGGTGAAGGTTTGAGTCTACCCAAAGTTGCCTCCAAAGAATGACCTGGAAGTCTACTTCTGAAAAATTCACTATTGAAAATCCTTTGGAGACAGTTCTAATCTGACACACATGGGGTCTCAGTGAGTTGGAATTGATTTGACAGCTACTAGGTTTTTTTGGTGGTTTTTCTGAATTAGCAAAGAGACTTTGTAATAAAAATGAGCAAGTCAAACTAGGTATTCCGCTTTTAACAAAATTGTAGCATTTTAGAGATGGCCTGATGTTTTTAATCTCTTATTTTATTTATTCTGGGTTGTTGATAACGACTATTAGCTGGACCATTGGGCCTTTCTAGGTGAGAAGCATGTAATCTACCATAAGCCAGTAATTCTAAGTATTTCTTCATATGAGCTTTGATTTGGATTTCATATTTGAAAATATTTTTTGCTTTCTTTTTGTCTGCATTGTCTTCATATATGTGTCAAGTTTCCCTGGCAGTGGGTCAGAGGGATCTCTCTTATGGCTCAGTGTCAGCTGCTCTGGAAAATAACTATTTAGCTCTTGGAACGGGTCTCCTGGGATCTTCTCTCAAAACGAATTTTGTTTTTACTGCAGAGTCTATATATATATTCAATCAAATCACTCAAAATAGCCACCAAATACGGTAATATTCCATCCAGCTCTTTTGAGTGGTATCCTAACAGATGCAAATAAGATTTTCTATAGATAGGAATAAGTTTAAAGGAGACAGTTATTTTGGTTTCATATTGAGAACTTAAACATACTAAGATTGTTTCAAGAGTTAAAAGTTGTAATGATACTATACACAGCATACATACATACTCCATAAAGCGGAAGAGTAATTTTTAAAAGATGCATCACAGTATTATTGAAAGTAATACATTTGTAGATAATAGGAGGAACCGGCAAGAAACCGGAACATAACAGATCATTTCTGCTAATAGAGTGGATAACACATAGTTCATCACTGTGATCATTGTTGAGGGCCAGGAAAATAAAGGACAGGCACAGAAATTGTCTAAACTTGCTGCGGCCTTATTAAGGTTCACAGCTCATCTGAATTTGAAATGTTTGTATGTAAGCAGATCCATCTAGAGTTTTTGAATACTCTTTGTTCATGGATTGTTAGTATTTGCAGTTTTTACTTCAACAATTTGTTGTTGTTAAGTGCTGTTAAGTTAGTTCCTGCCCATAGTGATCTTGTATAAGGTTTCTGAGGAGCGACTGGTGAGTTTAAACTGTGACCTTACGATTTAAACTGACCTTGTGGTCCAGTGCTTATCCTGTAGCACCACACCAGGACAACACACAACAATTTATTTGCTGTGTTAAGTGCTGTTGAGTTGATTCCGACCCATAGTGACCCTGTATAGGGTTTCCGAGGAGCAGCTGGTGAGCTTGAACCACTGACGTTGCAGTTTAAACAACTGCAGTCTGACGCATTAGCCAACAGCACCACACAAATCAATACTGAAGCGCTTGCTACCCAGTCACTGACATGCGCATGTGAGGAGCAATGAAAAAATGAGTGTCGTGGTACACACATTTCCAGCTTAGATGGACCAAGGCTGATTCTGTAGTTGTTAGTTCACCATTCCAGGTGCCATAAGTAAAGCGAATAATGGGAATATACTAGAGCTCGTTTTTATTTGGGGATGATGTTTATACTAATTTGTTTAGTTACAGTTTTAACTCAAACATTTTGAAGAGAGAAACCCAAAGAGGAATTTTTTTTTTTTAATTAAAAAAAAAAATTTTCTGTCTATACTCCTGCACAAGACTCATTTTTCTTTTAAATACACCTTCCACAAGACATTAATCAGTTTCTTTCTCTTTCATTACTAATATCTCCATTCCTTTGAAATCTCATGAAATAACGATTTTCATTACTATAAATTTACCAAACATGCTGCTTTCACCATTGACTTATTTCTAGTTTATATTGCTTCTCTTAATTCTCATCTTCTATTTCTCTAGCTTCCGTTAGCTCTCTCTAGAGTGTAATCTTATTGCTAATCCTTTTCTATTTTTTACTGCACTTCCTTTTTTATACCCTTTCACAAAACTCTGCACTTGGCTGACTTTTTTGTTTGTTTTGTTTTCTTTTGTTTTGTGCACAGTGAAAGTTGATGATTTGTGTGCATGTTGTGATTTTCTTTTAACTTTTATGCTGATGGTTTCCAAATCTATAACTCCAGCTCTGATCATCCACTTTTGATCCAAAACCATATTTCCAGCTAAATAGAGCAGTATCATGAACGCTTCTGAGAACTGGATGAAAACAGTGGACTACTGCCTACCCCTAACCTTTCTACTCTTCGATTCCATATATGCACTTGCATATAAAAATTAGCATGCCATTTTAGAGGGTTATAAAACCCTAAATTTTGATAATGAATCCTTGGTGAGAATTCTGGTTATAGAGCTTGTTCACTTGAATATCCTCTGACACTTCAATTTAAGCTGTTGGATCTCTTTTTTTTCATGTGTGTTCCTTCTTCATGTAATATTTCTCCCAACATTTCATCTTAGAAAGTCTGCTTGTCTTAATTCCAGATATCCAACTGTACCCTGTTATTTTTTGCTCTTAAAACCTAGTGGATTTACTCTTCTACATTCTCATTGCTAATAGTTTTCTTTCGAATACTTACTCTCTTAAGTATATATCATTACTAGAATTTCCTAGTTGATTTTCCTGTGTTTAGCATAGATCCTTTCAGTTCCTTCTACTTTATTACTGCCAGATTAATTTTTTAAATTCTTTTGTATATGGCAAAGAAAGTCTTCACCATACAGAAGGGCGTAAAATGGGTGTGGGAGATCTCCTAAACGATTGTACCTTTCCCCATCATTCTTATTCCTAGAATTAACCGACTTTAACCATTTCTGCTATTAATAATTTTTGGTGACTTCCTTCATAATGCTAAATAAAAAGTTCCTGTTTCCTAATTAATCATATTATTGTTAATCATATTATGTTGTTTTGTGCCATTTAATTGGCATACTACTCTAGCTCAGAGGGACCCTATAGGACAGAGTAGAACTTCCCCATAGAATTTATAAGGCTGTCTGTCGGTGGTACAGAAGTAGACTGTCTGGTCTTTTCTCTTGTGGAGTGACTGGGAAGGTTCTCAAACCATCAACGTTTCTCTTAGTAACTGAGCACCACTACCACGGCACCACCAGGGCTATGTAACTATGTTAATGTTGTTGTTATGTGCTGTTGAGTTAGTTTTAACTCATAGCAAAATTGTAGGGTTTCCGAGTAGTGACTGGTGGGTTTGAACTGCCAACCTTGCAGTTAGCAGTCCAATATTTATCCCTACAGTGCCACACCAGGACTCCTATATAACTAAGTTGTTGTTGTTAGGTACCATCGAGTTGGTACTGACTCATAGCAACCCTACGTACAACAGTACAACCTCACAGTCGTTGCCACACTTGAGCCCATTGATGCTGCCATTTGGCCGTTCCATCTCGCTTGGGGCCTCTTTTTCTCTGACCCTCCACCTTACCAAACATGATAACCTTCTCCTGACATGTCCGAAGTATGAGAGATGAAGTTTGGCCATCTTGGCCTCCAAGGAACACTCTGGCTGCACTTCTTTCATCACAGATCTGTTTCTTCTTTTGGCAGCCCATGGCACTTTCAATATTCTCCTTCAACACCATAACTCAAAGGCATCAGTTCTTCTACGGTCTTCCTTATTCACTGTCCAGGTTTTGCATACATAATGAGGTTATTGAAAATACCATAGCTTGAATCAGACGCAGAATAGCTATTAACTCTTCATCAGGAAAAATGAAAAATTCTTCCCTTCCTATACTGTTTATTGATTGTTGTTAGTGTTGGTAGTTGTGCTGTTGGTTTCTCCTTTTATAACTTAAACCCATGTCTTGTTATGTGAACTTCAGACTATATCTCTTTCCTGTTGTAGAGGAGTTAGTTTTGCAGCCCCCTCCCCTGTCCTTATCATTCTATCATACTACCTTTTATTTTCAGAGGTTATACATTTGCAGTCTTTTCTATAACTGTCATTAAATCTATCTTCATTCTTTTCTAGACTCCTTTAAAGACCAGAATAGTCTTGAGTATTCATAAAGATGTGCCTAGATAAGTCTTCCCTGCTCTAGGTATCTAGTTCAGTGCTCAGTGAATCTTTTCCTTTCTTTTTTTTTT